TTTTTTTTAAGATTTTATTTATTTATTTGAGAGAGAGAGAATGAGAGAGAGCACATGAGAGGGGTTAGGGTCAGAGGGAGAAGCAGACTCCCCGTCGAGCAGGGAGCCCGATGTGGGACTTGATCCAGGGACTCCAGGATCATGACCTGAGCCAAAGGCAGTCGCTTAACCAACTGAGCCACCCAGGCGCCCTTTTTGTTCTAAATGAGGAAAAATAAAAAGCAGTCCTTGCATCGGGCAGCACACCCTGGCCTCAGAGTGCCTGGTGCACTGCGGGCCCTGGGACAGAAGAGACTCTGAAATGCCTTTCGGGCTCACCATGGTGTCACCTCAGAGGCAACGCACTCCCACACCCAGCACAGAGGGTCGCTCACATCCTTCCTGCCCTGCAGAAGACATTATCTGTCTCTCTTCAGCAAACTGCTGGGAAGGCAGGCAAGAGACAGCCTGAAAGGGGGAGGGGGTGGGGAGTGACGGGGGGTAGGTGAGGAGCAGGTGTGTCCTTAGGTGTGATCAGGCGGTCAGAGCTCTGAGCCAGGGCCCAAGCCTGAGATACCCAGCACCAAGCACCGGCCCACTCCCTGTAGCGAAAGGAAGAAATAATAGAAAATCATCAGTATGTGGGGAGGGAGAGGAGGGTGCGGACTGCTGCGTTGTGTCTAGAGCTGACCACAGCTCCTAGGCAAAGCACCTGGTCCTGTGATCAAATCCAGCTCTGCCACCCAAGGCCAGCGCGGCTGCCCCCACACCACCCTGGAGCCTGAGAAGTGAAAAGACTGTATCTGCCTTTGTGGTCACCTTGACCTTCCTGGCGGGCAAGGCTGTAGAGAATACTCCTGAGGTCCTCTGACCCTCAGGGACCTCGGCTTTGTAGGTCCCTGTGCTCACAGACTGGGGCCCAGAAGCTGAGCTCCTGCAAGGACACAGGAGCTCCAGCCTAGAGGCGGCCCTGGCTTGGGGCTGACAAAGCTAGGGGAGTCGCCACCAGGAGCTGTGTCCAGATGCCCAGCTGGTGGCCTGCTGCTAGCCTGCCCTGTGGAGAGGCGTCACCGTACCCACCCCAAAGCCAGGCCCACGCCTGGCTTTGTACCCACCCCAGCCAAGGCCACCTGAGATGTGTGCCCAGGCAAACATGGGACCGAACGGAGCCAAGGCTTGGTTCAAACAGCCAGTCCAAAGGGGACTCAATTCCAAATTCAACCCAGGGGCTCTGAAGAGGCCTAAACTTTTGTCAGTTATTCTTGTGGCTTTGATATGAGCCCAAAGAACCAGAGACAGACTGCTGGTGGGAGAGAAGCAGCTGCTGGGCCCTGAGGAGCGCCCGCATCTCTCCTTTCCACTGCTCCGTGGTGGGGGAGCGGGACGCGAAGCTTTTGCCCAGGACAATGCGCTACCTTCCATTGCAGGTGCTGATGCTGGTCCTTCCTGCCGACAGAGCAGGGTCCCCGGCTAGCTCCGATTGTCCCCAGCTCCACACTGTGTCCCCTCTGCCTGCTATCAGGCAGAGGGCAGGGCGAGCAACTGGCCACGTGGATTGTGAGCTTATCTCTGTGGGTTTGCCCTCCCCGCCTGCTGTGCATACCCAGGAGCCCTCTCAGTCGGATAAACACTTGGAAGAGTAACCTATCTCAAGGGCCGGTAAGGCGGATGAGGTGGGCGCTGCTCTGCGCGGGCTACCTGGGGACACATCACTCCAGTGCCCTGGGCAGTCTTCCAGCCTCCCCTTCCCCACCGCATGTTCAGAGCTCAGCTCCGGAAAGGTCTGTCTTCTCTTTGTTCTGAACCCATCGTCCTTTAATTGTCTGCTCCCCTCTGAACCGGGGGCCTGGCACCCAGCAAGTGTGGCAAGGCGGAGTGAATGGTGCGCTGCTCCAGGGGCGCACGCGGAGCCTTTGCTGTGTGCTCACAGGCTCACTGGCCACCCCAGGGAGCCACCCTGGGAGTCCTCTTGTACTGTCCTTCCCACCGCGCATTCTTTCCTGGTAGCAGGTGTTAGGGGACAGGTGGCACCACAGGTGGTGTCATTCTGGTTCCTGTTCAGGAGTGGCATGGGCCACCCCCAAACCTGGGACGGTGCAGGTGCCTTCCTGCTCTCAGATGGAAAGCTGGGCTCAGATGGAAGAGGAGGCTCGGAATCAGCCCTGCGCATCCTTGTTGGGGGTTGGCGCTGTGCCCCGGCCCTGTCAGGCCCTCACCGCTGCAGCTAAGTAAGCTCTAGCCTTGGGGCTTCCTTCCCCTTGCTGCCCAAGGACCACGGGGGCAGAATCTTTGGTGCTGCCCTGCTGGGTACAAAAAGCTCCACCCCAAAGCCATCCTGTTCTGCTGCAAGGCCAAGGTTACAGTGGCCTGAAGGGCCCTGCACGGTGTAATGGCAGCAGCACCATCTTTTACTTGCATCAGATGGGGTGAGGGCCCCACCGCACAGCTGCATTTACCCTCACGAACGTCCCACCTGACTCACGCAGCAAGGATGCTTTCAAAGACTGGGTGCCTCGGGGGCACCTGGGTGGCTCAGTCGTTAAGCGTCTGCCTTCGGCTCAGGTCATGATTCCAGGGTCCTGGGACTGAGCCCCACATCGGGCTCCCTGCTCCCCAGGGGGCCTGCTTCTCCCTCTCCC